GAAACCGGGTTTATGGTCGGGTCCTTCCGCTAAGACCCAGCCTGCAGAAAAACGGACATAGCCAGTCTAGACCCGGCCGTTTAGCCTGTACAGGCCAAGAACAGCCAGGAACGGTTATTTGTGATCTTCCCGAAGGCCGATGTCTTCAATCTCAAATCGACAAGCTCTAACCTACACTCATTTCAAATTTGAAACCATCAGGAAGTTCAACTCTCGAACCGAGTTTTCGAAGCTCCTTCAATCAATTTGCCTAAAACCGACAACGGGGTTCGGGGATCGATGGCCTTCCAAATGAATTCCTCATTCAAATATTCAAACTACATGTCGAGATGAGCGGCTGCGAATATATCGCTGGTCATCCTCAGAATATGCATTTTCTATTGTCGTCTCCCTTCACCTTTTCAGATAGCTTCTGTCTGTGATCGTTTAGCGGCCGTTGATCAGAGGTGGGCTATCAGATTTTGAGAATTCGAAATCTCAGATCACAGCGACTTCACCTACATTGACTTGGACATTATCCGTGTACCTGTAGACTTATACTGAGTGAGGACTACGCCGTGGAAGAAACCAGCGAAGACCACGCCGGCGAAGTGACGTTACTCATCTCAAATTCAAAAGTCCATACTTTCGACTGTGATCGCGATCGTTGGGACAAGGACACAAGTAATAGTCACGCTGATGCTCTATCTACACATTCCAGACTACACCATCTCAGAACTATAGGCGGTTGGAGCAGCAAGGGGAAAAAAAGGGGAGTTATAGCTATACCATGATGCGGATTAAGCCTATATGCGATGGACACAACTGGGGCAACGGTTTCGGTATGGCAAAAACACACACGGTGTACGATGGCAATGCGCATATACAGCTCGTCAAACACTGATTAGCAATAAGCGAGAAGGTAGACGAGATGATGGGATGATAAAATGTTCGATGTACCCGGATAGTAGTGTCTATAGCACAACCCGATACGCAGAAAAACACTATTAACTAGAACACCTTCGGTTTCCACCTTTGTTACCTCAAAGGAGCATCTGTCAGCGAAAGGAAAGCAAGTAGCTCGGAAAGGGTACTTACTTCACAAACAGGAACTGGACCTCCGCCGTCGGACGTCCCCAACCTCTCAAAGCCCTGGCGAGTTTTGCCCTTTCCCCATGGGTGAGGCCAAGATAACACAACGACACTACGGCAACTGGTGCTAATCATGCCCGAGGCACCTTCATGCCATCCCGATGTATCCAAAGAAACTCGAGGAGTTGTGTAAGCGTGCAGAACTCGCGCTCCTTATTGGTAGAACACCTTCCGGATAATCGCATCACCCACAAAATGGAAGACAACACTGTGCAGCTAACCGCGAGGATCGAGACGAAGGGTTACTGCAGGTTCATTAGGGGGTACTCCAATACTAAACACCACCATGGCGATGGCCTGGCCGACACCGAAGCCGGCCACAGCACCATTTCCGCTATAATGACAGATACGAGGCTAGTAAGAGAGCCGTGTAGCGATGGTAGGACCATTCACCACCAATGCCTCAGCAACGGCGCCCCGAGCGTCCGAAGACAATGTCATGAATGAGACGGAACAGCACCCTTTGAAGCTTAAGTGCATATGCAGTAGGACTGGGTAGCACGTATTTAGTGTCGAAACAGGGGAGGGATCCGCTGTCGATCACAGAAATAACCGCCATCCTTGGAAACGACATAAACCGAGTGTCGCCTCGTTAGTACAAGCGACTGTGTAAGCCGTCCGAAATACCATACCTGCCAACCCGGTGGATACGAAGGCGCTCGAGGAAGTGTGAGATTGGTAGATCCCATTCACGGGCGAGTACAAGGATGTCCACCAACAGATGCCAGGGAAGTAAGCAGTACCATCGGCGTCACTCGTAGGCTGTCGGCTGGTGGACGACAGGCGCCTGGTTAAACGTATGTGCTAAACCAGAGAGGAGGATGGAGTTCGGGTATGGTGGGTTTCGACACAGGAAAAGGATCCAAAAGTGATGGGAGAAGGGAGTTGATTCGAAGGGATATTGTTCGAATTGACTACCGGGATGATACGGTGATAGGAGATAGGTTTCGGATGTTCGAAGTGCATGTCGATACAATTCGGTGGATAGGAAGGCAGTGGGTACTCGAAGAGCAGTCTGAGTTTGATAAATTCCATTTGCCCGCGTAAGCTCAAAGCGTCAATGGCCAGCGGTTTGGGTGACGGTAATCACCCGTCAGAGTAATTAACAGCACCATCGGCATTACTCTCGGGCTGTCGACCAAGCGATAAGCGGGTGGTCGGGCGTATATGCTATCCGAGAGGATGGAATTGGGATGGCAGTTGGATTCTACACAGGAACAGGGCCGCTAGTGACTCTGAATCCTCCTAAACGACTCTCAGGTTTACATCGTGACAGGAGATAGGTGTTGGGCATTCGAAGTGTGTGGATATAGAGATGCTTCGGTATTGGTCTGCAGCGGGACCCGGCCAACAACCTTGGGGTGCGCTGATCCCTTTCTTCTACTCCATCCGAGGTGCTAACAGTCCGAACTATGTATAAGCGCACGAAGTTAAATAGGTAAGACAATTCATACCTGACGCGTCTGGCTCAACACCTTCCCCGATTACCGAATCAAGGCCTAGGACTCTCTGATGGACTACCTGGCCACGCTTTGAAAGCCTGTGAAAGTTGACGGGCACTGCCACGAATTTGGGGATGGCCAACCAAACCTGGAGAACGAAGAAAGCCCAGAGTCAGCCAGCGTGCTACAGGCGGCGGGCTTGGGCGTACAGTGATAGGTGTATCCGAAAGGTCTACCCACTATATAAAGTAGGAGTGACGAGGGCTTGAACGAGGGCTTTCGAAGGAAACGCCCAGCGAATGACTGTCTGTCATTCGTGGGTCCCTACTACACGGTCGTTGATACCTAGGTGAATTTTTGCGTGTTGAATGGGTCTCCGCCCGCGCTTTAGCAATCATGATCTGTCGTAGGCGACGAATCGTAGAACATGGTCGTCTGCTTGCGTGGGTGGTCGTCCAGATCTTGATGCTGAAGATGACGACAGATTAGTAGGGGAATAGACGCAATAGATGGGGAGGGGTGGCAGAGGAAAGTGGCAGGAAACGGTAACACGTACCTCGGTTCTGCGGTCAATGGTAAGTCCTGCCTCGACAGCCTGGTCATGGTCCATCTTTCCGTCAAAGTGAACTTGCGTTGTCACGCGTTTCAAAAATCGTGACTCTCGAAAATGACATAGTTGACGAGTCTGTGCGATGCCTAAGAGCCTGAGAACTGAGGGAAGTATAAGCTAACTTTCGGGAGATTGCATGGATGAGTCACATACACTGACTGCGTCATTTTCACCAGTTTAGCAACCACTAATCCGAAGACTTCTTGAACCGGGTCATAGCCGCATTCGACGGCAGTGAGCGAGCGAGTCTGAGTTTGATGAGCACCCAAAGTAGCGGCCAGTTGCCCCAAAGATGGGCAGGGTACACAGTTCCATGCCTTAAAAATCTTGCAGGTCTCGTAGCTTGGATGGGGCGTAGAGCGTCAACAGAGATGTGTTGCTAGTGGTAGAAGCACTTATCAATTCGAGAGTTGTGAGTCAGAGAAAAAAGGAGCCACGACATACGGCGCACCTAGAGTCCGTTGCTAAGCCTACTCTACCATCCTCATCTCCTGCTTCCGAAGGCTCGTCCCTGAACGCAGCACTCAGCTCAAGGTTCTCAACTCCATTGATGTTGCTAAAATTCTCCTGTAGAAGAGCATCAATCATCAACTCGTAGTAGCAAATGACAGAGAAACGTTACCTTCAGCCCACTGGTATCCACTCAAATCGTCCATAACAGTTTGAGTGAACTTCAAGATTCGGGAAGGAAGTCAACACCGCGTAAGCGACATCTCGCAATCCTAACAGGACCGTGATGTCGTTGATGGTGTTCAAAATGTAGGATTGCTCGAACCTTGATGATGGGAGGAAGGGAACAGGAATTGTGATATTTCTGTGACAGTCGCACTGTCACTCTCCCCGGGCCGGGACATGACAGTGACTCGCCGCGGTCTGCCCTTTGGAAGCTTCCTCCATCATGCTAATTTCTGTCCGCTCAGAGACTTCCGCTCATACTCTATCTCCCTTGAGCTTCCATACCATGAGAGCAACGATCTTGAAGACACTCGGGACACATTGAGAAGAGGTTGGTATATACTCAGATCGCTCAGGACATTGCAAATGGTGCGGTTGATCCTTTTCCGACTTTCCCAACTGCGGCTTATCTATTTTTTGCCAGTCGCTAACTACGATTATGATCAACACATGTCACTTTTCTCCGCCCGTCGAGCGATTTCAATTCAATTCAATCTCTTTCTCAGTTACACGATCTCTGGGGACACTTTAGAATCGGATGGTTTAAGGGACATTCATGTCGTTGCTCGATATACCTCTCATTCTCAACACTCACAAGATAACTTGAACATCGCACGCCAGCACTTCCGTCCGCGTGCTTGTGGCCGAGCCGGTCACGACCTTCTCAGCCTGCTCAGTCCTCGGATCGTACCAGGATCGCCTACTTGACATTTCCTCGTGACCAGTACGTACCACTTTGAACATGAAAGAAGAGAACATTTCCGAGGTCACATCTTACCGATTCTCCCTCTCCTCTAAATAGGTTAGGGAGGAATGCGGGACGACTATAGGATAGATCAAGGTCATGGATGAGACTGTCATGGACCACTTGAGATTTGCCTGAGAGTAGCATTGAAAGGCTTGATTTCCATCGCTAGATGGTCAACGAGTGCGTGGGGAGACCAGGCTATAGGAAGGAGAGGTCTGGTGGCTTGTTTCAGTAAGGTGCAAGTGGACTGGAGCCATTGACGGTTCTTGTCAAGACAGCATGTTGGCACCAGAAACTTGAATAATTCACCAGTCTCATCAGTTGTGTATCGTTGCTGTCCTCGGGTGTCTCAAGGGTGCGCGATCAGTATATGTTCTTTACAGTGGCCATCAGTTCCCTGGTAGTATATCGGTTAGTACACGCGCCTGTCATCGCTCACGAATGCGATGTCATCTGCCGCGCGAAAGCTGGGTTCGACTCCCAGCCAGGGAGATGCTACGCTGGCACTCTGATATACTTGTCATCTAAATCATATTGTGGGCTGGTAAGTAGACATTTTTGACTGCTGTATAATGATATAGGGGAAAAACTCGTCACAGTCACGCCGTTTTTGATCTGTGCTGGCACGGCCAAAACCCAGTGACCCAGCGCCCACCAGCACCCATTTATCTTACGGCGGCCCAGAACTTCCGCTGACGTGGTTTTCGAGCACCTTGCTTCTTTCTCTCAGACTACGGCGAAGACCTTTAGATCGCATCATGGACCCAGTCATTTGCGTTGGAATCAAGACGATTGCTGGGCCCCCAGGCTCTTGAGAGCGTTGATGAGGTCTTGAACTCTCAATGCGGGTGATAATCCGAGTCGTCGCCTTGTCGCAGAGAACTTCGCTCGTTATACGTTCAAGCCGTTGTTGACATCACTCGTTGACTCTTTCCACAAGCAAAGTCCTTCTTGTGGTTTACAGGGTCTCGTCCTCAGGTGCTAGGCATCTTCGGTATCTGTGAACACGATGTGAGTAGATGAGAAGATCGAGAAGAGTCGCGAATGCCTCATTTTTTGAGATACGTATCTTCTACTCCATTCTTGTAAAGCGAGGCAGAGATGATACGGTCTCTGTTCATTTTATGGCGCAACTATCTACAGTCCTTTCTACCGACCTCTTTCGACCAGATTGAAATTCCTCCCTGCAATCTCGAAACCGGCCGAGATTACCCAGCAAGTGGCATGTTAGAGCCCCACACGAGTATGAGCTAAAATACCAATCAACATCAACACCGACACCCAAAAGAACGATTTCCCGCTCGCTACCGGCCGTGGAGAGCTTTTGTAAGGCACTTCGTGGTCTCTGGAAGTCGGGTAAAGGTTGTGGAGTCTTTGAATGGCCCTTCGAACCCAGATACGACTGGCGAATTGTTCAAGTGCAAAGAATGCAGGTTCGTCACTTATCGCTCTTCTTGGTCTGGCCTAAGTTTGCCTACGTTGTCTCGGTTTCTTACTCCAGTAAAGGAACAGGAACGAACGAGGCTCCACGAAACCCGAACCTAGCTATGTTATTGGAGTACATATTGCTCTGACTCTGACCCTTGAAGTTGTCCCTCGAGTTTTAGCTTGCACTCCTTGCCTTCGGACAGCAGCATCTGGACCTTGAACCTCTGCTTTTACCCCATTTTTCGCTTTTACCACCCCATTGTTTGACTATCCTCCCGGCCTCCACCATTTCGATCGCATAGCAATCTCTCACTTCCTTCAACCATGACACTACTGGCACGGATGCTGCTCATAGGACTCACTGTCTTCCCGGTCAAAAAGGAAGCGAGATCGACCTTCCTTGCACGGAACTATGACACATAATTTTCGTTTACTCGACGCGTACTGGGGCATTTCGGCGTTCTTACCTTCGTTAGAGAAAGTTCAGTTCAGCTTCCTTTTTTCGTTAGTAGACTGCACCCGGGGAAGGGTATCGGCAAATTTCTATGTTCATGGTTGAACGCTCCGACTGTCATGTACCTCGAACGAACTAGTTCGATTCGATAAGCACGGATCTCGGGCCCGATTATCCCAGCAGGCGTACATGCCTACGCTCTCTCCGAACTGTTGGTTTGATTACCGATTGCTAATGAGCTCCTCGTTTATCGATGCCCAGGGTCGTTCTTTCCTCTGCTCTCAAGCACTCTTCGGCAGGATTCCGAGCACTATCGTTCGACAGGAATAGGTTATTCTGGATTTGAACCTCTACGGGCGATGTGTGCCACCGTCATCACTGACTGGTATCGTCGAACTTTCTAGCACATCTTTGTCGTTCGGGACGTGTAGCCAGGCGTACCGTGCAGCTTCCGATTCGACACATGTTTCATTCGTCATTCAGAATGCTGGCGGAGCAGCACAGGGCCGTATCCAGGAACCGTTTGGAATCGTCCCTTGTTCCCTTGGCAGGCGTTTCTGATATGTAGCTTTTAGCTGTGTTGTGGGCTGGTGTAGGGCCTGGCTACTTGTGAGAGCGATTTGTTCTTGTTCTTTAGACTCTATCGTTTTCTGAAACCGAAAATAGTAGCCGACGTGCCCTAACGCTCGGCCCCGGATCGTAGTGCCAGTCCCCACCTTCCCACCAATGCCGCGAGTGACCGTCGAGCCCCATTTGGGTGTTTGAATGCCTCTTTGGGCGCTGGACTCGGGTAAGCTCTTCGCTGGACGCAATCGACAAGATTTCCAGAAACTGAAGATTGACAGCAGAAGTGAATTAGACTTGACAGAAACAACCGAAACGCCCTGGCTCAATCGTAATGGCATACGTCTAGCATTCGGTCATAGGTCAAGGATTGAATACTGGAGAGGCCCAGTTCTTTTTTTTGGGTTCTGTCACTGGGCAGCCGGGACTCGCAAGGAGACGATGCGAATTCAATTTTCATATACCCCAATGTGGTTTAGCCCTCAGAATAGAATATACTTGAACTTTTAGGCTCGGGAGTCTCTGTGGGTGCGGCTGACGAGGATATACAGTGTCGCGTTTTGCTAGTGGCTGTCGCTAGGCTGGGAGGACTGGTATATAAATTGAAGCAGACAGTCTGCGGAAGGGTAAACGCATGTGAGAATGGGAAGTATACATAGATCCAATGAATGAGGGTGAGAATCAACAGAATCGTCATGAGAGAATCTGCTAGCTGTCGTGCCTTCTGACAGAAGGTTCGGGTCAAAACTTGGTTTACTCGTTTTCTGCGGTGATGTTCTCCCGAGTCGATCTCATCTCGACCTATACAACGGCCATTGATGTAGAGCACACTTCCCCAGGTAGCCCGCTGCTCAGGAATCTGCACATCCCGAGCCTCCGTCATGTCAGGGGACTATTCAATTGATCCGGGGGGGAAGCTCCGATGTAGCTTACGGCCCTGGAAGAACCAAGTTCAAGCGTCCCTGGATGCTGAGAGTCCGATTTATCGCTGTACACTGTGGGGCGTTGATATAGGCGGAAATACCTCTTTGCTATTCTTATCAGTCCATGATACATGCGATATTGGACTTCTTATTGGACCCCGCAGGGTACTTTCTAGGTCACCGATCGATCCACATATACCCCGCAGTTCGGACGCGTCTATCCTCCTTCCGTCCTAGTCAAGGTATTGATATTGATTTATTCCTTTTCCTGCTCTTCGCGACTCATAGGGCACTTACACTCGGTTTCCGGAGATGAGTATCACGTCAGAACTGTCTATTCAAGTCCAAATTTCGCGCCACATTCAGGTTACCCACATATCCACAAACTCCATTCTGGGCACCAGGGTCGAGGCGAATGGCAAGTAAAGATGGTGGAGCCACCTTGGACTTCTTGACAACCAATGGCCTCCGACTCCGCACGGACGGTTGGCAACGAAACAAAGAAAGCCGCTTAGAGTTGGAGCAACGGGAATCCGGCGGACCAGCCACGACCACCAGACATCTTCAGAGATGGATACACTCCAGTGTATCAATCGAGGAAGATACGATGGTTGATCACATTCCTCCCGAAACACAACTTCCCATCGAACTCGAACGTTCTGAATGCGCTGTGGGCCTGTCGTGGATTGCAGATCTCGAGGCAGGTGGGATGCTCTGAGCGAGTCGGGAGTTCTCACCGGCCATCCATAGGTTACATTCAGGGTACTTCGATGACAGCGGCCCGCGAAACTCGCCGAACCTTGGGAGCAAGCTTGTGTATAGGATTGTCACTGACAACTTGAACTTTTTATGCCACGCCCTATCAATATTGCACTGGAAGTTGTAGTATGTAATAGCGGATCGGAGAATCAAGCCAACAGTAGACTAAGTAGTACATACAAAGGAGACATAATAATATACGTATAGTAGGAGAGCTTCGATTGATTCTACACACGGGGACTCTGGTCATAGTCATTCCCTATTTTCAAGTGCCCTCAACTCCCGGAAAATCGTTTCCCCGTTCTCCCCAGTCCCCACAATCTCCACCCACAAATTATATCGTACACCAGGGTCGGGTGAACCCATCAATTAGGGGGAACGGATGCGATAACCACAACAGACTGACAATGGACGAAGAATGGACAAAACAATGGATGATGGATGATTTATGTGACCAAGAATGGGGCCCATGGTGATGATCGGGCAACCAGGTTACTGTGGCTGTAAAGTAGAGCCTCGATGTTATCTTCTAGACTCACGGGCCCAGCGGAGGATGACACACCTGAGTAGGGTTCCACAGTTAACTTATCCCTTGAAAGGACAGCCGGGAGCATGGTCGCCACGCCAACTACATTCGGCGCATTGAGGGGCATCGTGGTGGCATGTCAAAGCTGCCGTCTGCTCGCTTTGGTGCGACACTGCAATATTTGTCGCAGAGTGGACTGATGAGGAGGAGAAGGAAGTGGTGGCCGTAGTGTACATTGTGAAGATGGCTTGTGGAGAGCAAGTGGAAAGCGCTTCGTCGAAGGTCGCGATATGCAAGAGGGAGATTAGAGAGCTGGATGATAGTCTCTTCAAACTTTTGTCGAGTTTTTATACTCGAATGCGGGATATCCACGGCATCTTGACAATAGGTGGCAGTTGTCCACATCTTGCTGTTGCTGTTTCATAAGCGCCGAGCACTTACTCGATTTGGTTTGGATTAAAAAAATGGTGAATGGGGAAAAGGCGGCGATTCCGAACCAGTTCATTTCGGACTGAATGTGGCAACCATGCTTATTAGCGAAGAATGTCCCTTATGTCCAGACTCCAGACTTGTGGTATAACGTTCTCCCCACCCCCCGCCTCAGAGCTTCTGCAGATAGATGTCACCGGATTGAGCAGGTACCAGGTATCTAACCCTACCAAATCAAGATGGAAGAAAATAGAGTACCTGAGTCCGCACACCACGCGAGCGCCGAGCACAGGCCAGCGTCCCGCGGAGAAAATTTACTTTCTCATTGAGGCCCTAAAGCAGGTCTCCCCCACAATCAAGCACGTTCCAAAGGGCTTATCGAACTTAGAGTGTGCTGATGCTGGCGTTG